TGTCCTTGACATCAAGAATTTCCTTATCTTGACTGTCCAACACAATGCCCGTTTGTCGAGGTTCGTATACACCAGCAGCTCTTGCATATTAAAACTGTCATATTTTGCTTCGAGGTCTCCGATTTCCTCACACCGTTCGTTTAGCTGATTTTCTTTAGCCTATCATCACTTATAAACATTACAGAGTTTATACCCTTGGTGACGAGATCCAGCAATGCTGTCCATAGCTAACCACCAGGATAATGAGGTCTTCAATAAAGTCCCCCAATAACCCATTCAAAACTATCCGATTAACGTTATTTCCCATCCAGGAGTTGAAAAAAAGCCATCAATATGATGGCTGACTTACAACATCAAGTGGTCACCGCTGACTGGGCGTGTAATCAATGTGGGAGAAATTGTGGGTTCCGAATAGGCTTGATCAGTCATCAAAAAGCCCTCAGATTATGATGCTGACAAGATATGCCTATAATGATGACCAACAATCTTTTGCCACTGTTAAATTGAATTGTTTGGAAATTGTGCACTACCTTATGAGCATATGTTTGGATAAGAAGAGATAAAATGATATGCAAAAATTATAGAGGAATATCGTTCATAAACGCAGCATACAAAGTTCTAGCAAATATAATCCTCTCGGGAATAACCCCATTCACAGAGGAGATAATGGGAGACTATCAGTGCGGCTTTCGGACAAACTGATCAACAATCGACCACCTGTTCATAATTAGACAGCTACTAGAAAAAAGCTGGGAATTCAATAGGAAGATACACCAACTGTATAGATTTCACAGGCCTATGATAGTGTATAAAGAGAAATCAACGAAATTTGCCTAAGAGTACCTACTAGCTTTTAAGAACCCTGTTTTGTTTTATACCGTATACGATATTCATGTCCTTTCTTCAATCCATCATGTCAGTCAATTATCGTCTACCTACCATTCTGCAAGAGGTTTTAAAATAATTTGTACGATTTAACCATTCCATTGTCTGTAACAAAAGAGTATTAGCCGCGAAACTGTGACAAAAGACCAAAGGGGCAAAAGACTTGGCACTATGTCCAAAAACTGCTGAAAATAAAAGTATTTAAAGTCTACGATTGAGTGGAATTAACGCCCTCAATGTCTTTCTTGGTAACCGAAGAGGGTATAAAGGAAATTTGGTGCGAGATGGGCAATGAAGTGAACTAATATCTATAAGGAATATTGATCTATCGGAGATTCTCAGGTGTATGGCCTAGGTGCACTGTTATTGAATTATTAGGGTTTCGTGCTATGAGGGAGTTCATTGGTTAAATTTAAAAAAAAAAATACTTTTATTCTCAGAACAAAAAATCTAAAGACAAAACTGCATTAAAATAATTTTAAATAAATAATTACTATTCTGTTATATTCACCGATGATAATAAAAAACTGGAACCGAGTTATATTCAGTCACCTCGTTTTGCTTCATTATCGTCAACTACGGTCGTTATTGACTGTCACGACGTCAAGCGGCATCAAAAATTATTGCATACGAAATAATTATCAAAGCAGACAGAAAGGATGAAGACATTTTCGTAATCATTTCAAAATGCAACGACGGGAAATCCTGGTAGGTAGGTATAGGCGGTTTTTGCTCCGTCTACTGCTTCTAATTACCTACTTACTAATATTAATAAATGCTCTCGATTTATATTCAATGCGTACAGGTGAACTTGACGGTTCACAAATATAAGTTTCAAATACTTATTCTAAAAGACAAATCTGTTATTCTCAATAAACACCCCATTAGAACAATTCTGTGCATTATTCATTGCATCATAAATAAATCAGGACTCCAACACCGTTGAAGAAGCGCAATTTACCACATCCGTAAACTATATGACGTAGAGAGTATATGCACATATGTGACAGATTGCTTTTTAATAAATTATTAGATAGCGCTTTCAGGCAAATTGACTTCCAATTTACGCGTTAAGTTCAGTGAAGTGGATAGCCATGGCAGCATCAATTTTTCATGTTTAGAGCACTGCATGATTCACCACGAAATTGTTTCCTCTCTATAAGGGATTGATCAATCACGGTTTATATATTTTTGAACTCATTCTTTATTCAATAATTTATGCAAAAGGGAATGATGAGCCCTCATAGTTGAAATGTTTACACTTTTGGACACAAATTCATGAATCTAATTGACACCTTCAGATTTCTATCATAGAATCTTGACTTAAATTTCAAAAAGGCAGAGCGCGCTTTCTTGATCTTTCTCTTATAAAACAATGTCATATTTGATCTTTCACTTCGCCACTAGTTTATTTTTAAACAGAGATTTCAAAACATTTGCAGAAAAGGAAATGTTATACTTAGCTTTTTGCCAAAACAAGAAAAACAAATAAATGAAAGTTGATTTTTGTAAATTTTCTCTATTTTTTCATCCCTATTTGATTTTTAACCTCTCGAGTACGTCTATGCTTCGTGTTTATGGCGTAGGGATGTGGCGACCCTATCGCCTACGATTCAATTCTTCAACCCTCTACAACATTTATAGATTTTGTGTTTGTTCCAGGTTTTCTCCTTGATGTATTTACTTGAACATGGGTGATACATTCGGCAGTAAAGCGTGTCTTACTTCTGTGTTACTGAAAAAAAAAGAGCCCTTTGATTAAACAAAATGCGTCATATGTCAAATTAACACGAATGAAACACTACCATCAAGTGAAAATGGATAGAAGAGAATCCGAGATGCCGCTGAAATACGGAAAGATGATGTCCAAAAATGATTGAAACTAATGACTGGAAATGACAAAGTAGTTTATCACTGTAACAACAAGTGCTACAAATCATATACACTGGAAAATACCTTGGATAAAATCTGCCAAAAAACACCTTAATGTAGTGAAGAGCCCTAGTTCTTTGCAGAAGATACAATTGAGAATCAAGGCCATCCACTCAGAAGATCGCTGACTTCTACGCGTCTAGCCCCATCAGCTCAGTTGAAACCTGAAGACCTTCCATGTGTTATATGTGGTTCCGCAAGAATAAACGTCAAAGGGACGGACAACAGAAACAAATACAGAATATGCGAGTCCAAAAGAGCAAACATATTTTCATCAGCAGCTAGTTATTTCAGAGACGAAGTGTTTAGTCGAGTAGCTGATTCAAACAGTGATACGAGAGTATTTGCAGCTGATTTGTATTCTCACCCGAACTGTGCGCGTATATATTTTCGGAAGTATAAGTGTGCCATAAATTCGCGACCACATTCCCGTCAATGTTCCTTAAAATTCACACTTTTTGAAAGGGTCAACGAAATTTTGGAGCCCCTTCTGATTGCAGGCTATGGGTTCACACTCCACTGACAGACAATGAATGGCTAATATTGATGATTCAGTGCTAATACATAATAATGAAGTTTCTTCTTCAAGTGCCTATCCGTTCTGGATGTTGGTTATCAACATGACTATTCTTACTTTGTTGATAGCGATTCGGAAAAGTTCTACTGTTGATTTGTCAAACCACGTTCTAAGATTTGCAAGCCAAGAAATTCTCCTTCGGCCAGATGCTCTCCTGCTATTAAATTTGCCTTGTAGGATTTCCTATAGCAGCCCGTATCTATTTGGGTTCCTCATTATGTGGCCGACATACTGAAGTTCCGACATTTTATGGTATCTAACAGTTCTGCTTCTTTATTCATCCGACGCATTACTTCTATGTTGGTAATTATTTGTGTCCAAGATATTTTCAGTATTCTCCTGTAAAGCCAAGAGTTCGAACGCTTCAATTCTCTTGGTAGTCTCTTTAGGGAGTCTCCAAGTTTCTACGCCATACAGGAGGACCGAGAAAACATAACAACGCAAGAGTCTAAGCTTCATGTCTAAGGATAGATTATGGCTATTGAAAAGCGAGCTCATTTTAATGAACACAGAGCGGGCCTTTTCGATTTCTTGAGAGTTATCCCATCTCTCGTCCCCAAGTATGTGTGCTGCTTTACTTTATGTATTCTACTGTGATTGATGTATAAACTGTTTTCCGCGATGTTTCTTTTACTTACTATAAGGAGTTTGGTTTTGTTTATGTTTATTTATAACCCGTACTGTGAGCTAATTCTGGTCACCCTCCTTCCTCTATTGCTGGGGTTTTGAGCCGCTGAAGCTCATAGTTTGGAGTCATCCTAATATTGACCTAAATACGCCAACCAAGGGACAGTGATCTGATCTAATGTTAGCTCTTGGAAATGTTTTGAGGGATAGGCAGCTATTTCTAAACCTCTTATTGAGTAACATAAAGTCGATTTGGTTTCTGACTATTCTTTCCGGTCCATCCATAGGCGCTTTCCACGTATATAATCTTCTTGGCGGCAGTTTGAAGGCAAGTGTTCATTACTACGAGTTCATTTGTTACTGCAAAAACTTCAAGTGCGTCCCATCTTTTGTTTTTTTCACCTAGTCCATGTGATCCTATAACATCTGATGTATGACCTTCTCCCACTTTTGAATTAAAATCGCCCATTACAATTGTGATATCATGCTTGTTCAGTTCTTTTAGTATATTATTGAGTGTTGTGTACATATTTTCCACTTCTCCATCTTCTTTATCCACCGTAGGGGGGTATATTTTGTATGATGTTCATGTCAACTGAACTCGCTCTTATTTGGATGAGTGCTATTCTTTCTGATACATGAACATGATACATGAACATCAAACCCCTTATACCCCAATAATGAAGATAGGATTTGATAATGACAGAATTCGATATTGTGAGTCCAATAGAAAGAATGAGCCACTTAGATGTTCTCGGCTGACCTAACGCCTGAAGTTCTCGCTGAAAAAATACGCTCACGAGACACAGTAAAATCAGCAGGTACTAAGAAAGATTTTGAAAGACTGCCACTTTGGACTTAAGGAAAAATTCTGCGATGTTTCAGATCTACAAAATTCATGGGAATCAGTAATAATGCCACATGCTGTATCGAAATTTTTCTCATCTCTGTTTAATGTCAGTCAATTGTTTCAAACAAGAGCTCCCGAACTCGGAACAGAACCTGAAGACTCTGGTGAGGACATTGAAGAGACTTGCGAAGATGTGGAAGACAACCACCTAAACCGACTAACTGTACAAATGAACAGTCTTTTCCAAATTATGTTTTATGAAATTCATCGAGGAAAAAAGGAAACACCTTTATACACGATGACTGCTCATATATACGCTAAGTGTAAAAGTAAAGAACTTCCATGAATAGAATTGGTGTTGCTACAAGCTACAACGACGTAGTGAAAAGCAGAGACCTATCAGCATCATATGCAGTAAAATCAGGCGAATCCACTAGCATGCCGATACCAAGTCACTTCTCTAAAAGAGAATTTATAATTGCCGCTGTCGATAATTTTGACTTTGTTTGTCCACATCCAGTACACACGATACCGCGATAATACTTTTCCAAGATTCTAGTAATGACGTAGCTAATCGAAAAGGAACTGTAAAAGCCGCGGGACTTAACAAACGAAGCTGTGAACTTACCACGCAACTTCCTTGCCAAAACGTGCAAAATTACCACAAACCATTAAAACCTCGCAGTCTACAAGAAGATTTTCAAGTCGGTGAATATATGAATATTGCTATATCCAATTCTGCAGTAACCGAAGCTAATGCAACGGAATTTCTTATATCGCTTGTACGATCTGGAATAACAGATGAGAAAAATCCTGTTCCTTCTTGGGCTAGAATTCAGGCCCTGACCTCCCAGAAGATCGTTCCACTGAAGAAAGTTGGGTTTTTACCCGTCATACCGTCTCTAGTCACAAACTATTCCACAATATTCACAGCTCTAAAAAACTTTGAAAATATTCGCGCTCAACTTGAGGACCAGTCCACTCTATCAGTTTTCTGTGATGATGCCGATGATGGTATTTTTCACATTATTGCAGAAATTTTGATGAACAATCCAGCATCTTTTTCCTATGATGGTTGCCTTTCACATGACAAAAGTGCCATTGCGATGCGCAGGAAGTTATCTCAGTGGTTGTGGAATAAAAGATGGGCTTATTGAGATCGAAATATATGAAAGTAAAACTGTCCAATCATTGATGAGTGGGTCCCATTACGTGCGTTCGTTACAAGGTATGCTCATTATATCTGAAACACTAGACACATTGCGCTGGAGTGCCTTTTGGAAAAATAACAACAAACTAGATTATATAGATCTAATTGCAGAGGTGACAAAAGCACTAGATGCTTTTCAAGTAAAAGACGTGCTGCAGAGCCATATAATATTCGAGGCAGTATGCTTAAAATCACAGAACTTGATATCTCTCTTCGGAACGTTTGTTAAGGAATGTGAAGAGAAATCAGAACTATGCAAATACTGGGGAAATGTTTCATAATATAATAAATTTAATAAAGAACTTAGTTCATGCTGATCGGGAAGGTGATTGGGAGTTGTATAAACTACGTAAGATATGGATCGTGGTATTTGGACAGGGTGAAAAAGATAGAAGTGGAAAACCCTTATCTTTAAAACAAATTCATACAAGGCCATTTTGTGGTGAAAGATCAAGAGGGTGGATTCAATTCTGTGGCTGCGGATATGAAACTAGAACAGACTATTCAGAGATCACAGAAAAGCTCGAAGGAAATAGTTGGCCAGACACGTAAGTGTGACTATATTACTCGGTGGGAGCTGGTATACCATAAAATCTTTTCGATATGAAATGCCTTTAGAGACATTACAAATTCGAAGCTAATGGACCATCGCAAAACTGTGCCTCATTACGAGCTTCTAGGAAAGAGAGGAGAACATTTTAATGAGAACCTTGGCCGCCTTATTTGTTTTATGCAACAACACGAAAACCTATTCGAAATGACGCATCAAATACGATTAACTTTGTGACCAAACAGTTTGTGAATTACGATATAAAAAAACGTATTCTACATGTCCAACAACGCGCATTTGGACTATATAAAGAGTTGAAGGAGAAGAAATTTGTGTCTAAAACAAAAAGCTTCTGTGACACAATTTCGTAAATATCCCCGCTTTGATAGTTATAGTGAGTCCCACAGTGAACCAGCAATTACACAAAGGGGAAGAAAAAAATTCCTTTCTCAGGAACATAGGGATTTGGATGTAGCGAAAGAAAGGGGTAAACGAATCTAAGATATTCCGTGGCCAGTCAAGCACAGGCTAGTGCAAGAGATTGAAAAAAACCTGTCACCTGAAGATTTAAGCTTTGACCAAATGTCTCCCTTTCAAACTGCCGTTATTGTGGATTTTATGTCGCATTTACGAATGCTCTAAATTTCTTCAATGCGAAACTTTGGAGCAGCGGTCCGTACAGTACTGCAAACATCACAAGCAGTTTGTCCATTGCAGAAGCTACATATCGTTTTTGATAGTTATCGCGAATTATCTATAAAGGAATCTGAGAGAATCAGACGAATGTCTACATGTGGAACAATTGACATCGCATGCATAACCAATTCTACTCCCGTACCTGGTTCAACTAGACAAATTCTGGTCTTTGACAAATAAGACGAAGTAAAAAATTTTAACTCGACAAAATATTGCCGAATTTTCGATGAACACCGAATTTCCAATAATTGTTAGTACAATTACGGCGAATGAGGAAGTGGTTCCAGCAGAAAAATATTCAAACGGCAATGGTCGTATCGTTGTATCGACCTCCGTATTGTGCCACACGTTGACTGGACAATTTGAAATGGGTCACGTCGAGTCCTGGTTCTGTCAACCGATACAGATGTTGTTGCGTTGCTACTTTGAATTGTTGTCAAATCAGGGAATATGGTTACCTACGTTATGGAACTGGAGAGAGAAAACGCTTTATCTCCCTTCATCAATAGAACTTTAATCATACTCGGTATCGAGTGATCGCCTATGATAATGATGATGCCTTCATGTTTTTTTTTTACGGATATGCGCACTCGCAAGGAAATGTCCTATCAGATTCGAGAAGCGGCAAGTGCGCGGAAATGTCGGTGTATGTTGGTCTTGAAACGGTTCAGGTTGTAACCTGCAGGGAAAACCGTCGCAGGAAGTTTATTCCACAGCGATGCTGTTCTCCAGAGATATGAATTCTGATATAATGAGGTTCTTGGTGCCTCTGCTTTGACAGTAAATTTATGGTTACCGTCTGTTTGACGGGTTCGCCTGGTAGGTGCTACTCTCGGTGGAATCATATGTGCCAACTCTTCAGAGCATTTTCCGTGATAGTACCTGTAGAAGAGAGATAAATCGCCCACAGATCTGCGATGTTCGAGACCATCCAAGTTACGAGTAAGTCATTGATCAGCTTGATAGCTCGTTTTTGCACGGTGTTCAAAAGCATTAAGGTATGTTTGGGTGCTGCACTCCATATATGTGAGCAGTACTCCATAGTTGGTCGAATCTGGGCTTTGTAGAGTGTCAGCAATTGGCTTGGTGTGTACAGATGCACCGGCGTATCCAGCCCATGCGTCTGGGGGGGGGGGGGGGTAATCAGCCCAAGCCAGCGCGGGTGCCACGCCCAAAATCGCCTATTTTGAGCCTTCAAAACATTTCTTTTCTACGAAAGTGGGGAAAATTGAACAGTGCAGAAAATCGATTTTCTTGCACGGTGCGGCGAAATTTTTTCCGCACAAATATCGGTGCGGAAAAATCTTTTCCGCGCGGCAGTGAAAAAAAAATCAATAACTTACTACAAATTATGTAGGTATGTACTTATTTCCGCACCTCTGTAGAAAAAGTATTGTACCTAACACATGCGGAATATCTGTTTTCCGCACTTGGCTGCTCCACCAAATTCCGCTACGCGTCTTTCAGTGAACGACAGACTAGTGCGGAATTTTTTTTTTCAGCACTTGTTAGGTAATTATATTCTGTACTACCAACAAATAACGAAACCGAACTCTCATAGCGAATTCCATTGGAAGGGTTAGTGCGCACTGAGTGTATTCGTGTCTTATTCTAGCAGCTTGTATAAGAAAGAGATAAAAATACATTTTTTTGCACTGATTTTATCAATGGAATTCGCTATGGGATTGCCCTAAAACTTTTTAATTATAGCGAATTCTATTGGTAGAATTGATACAATTTTTTTTTTATGCAAGCTAGAAGAGAAAGACACGAATACACTCAGTGTGCACTATCCCTTTGAATAGAATTCGCCATAAATAGCATGCGGGCAATGCGGACACTGTGCAAACTAGAAAACAAGTTAGGGCCAGTTGCTGAAAATAATAATAATAATAATAATAAATTTATTCAAACACAATTACAAGCAACCACTGTTTTAACTAACATACACAAATAATATTACTTCTACATCTATTTAGCGGCACCTAAGTGAGCAAATCACCTGTATGTGCCCGGAATCACCTGTATGTGCCCGAATCACCTGTATGTGCCTGTGTTAAAATAGATTTATTTGTAAGGTTTAGGGTACATATTTTTCGTCCATCGCAACGATCTTGGGGGGGGTAATTACCCCCATTATCCCCCCCCCCCCCCCCCTTGTATACGCCGGTGTACAGATGTCTTGTACGATATAGCACCCCAAACTTTTGGGGCGCCCTTTTAGCAATATCTGCCACGTGACTGTGCCAAGACATGTTGGTCTCTGCAGTAACCCCCAAGATGTTCAACTGACTCTGTAATGTGACAGCACTTCCAGATAGCATGATGTTTGGCTCACCGGTGCTGGTCTTCTTTGAAAACAGAGCTGCTTGGGTTTTCTGCGCGTTGAACTGTACAAGGTTTTTGTTACCCCAGTCCACTATTATCTCCAGGTCGTTATTTATCTGCGATATTTGAGTTAGTCTAAGATGATGGAATTCACTGGCCGAAAGACCTGTGGGTGGTATGAGTGAGGAGACTACATTGCCATCGTATGCAAAGCAATAAAGTGGATTTACTGTTTTATCTATGAGCTCATTTATGTAAATCAGAAAAAGAGTTGGCGAAAGGATTGCTCCCTGTGGCACAGCAGCATTTATTTGGTAAGAGTTGGAGTTCTGGTCATCCAGTGCAACATAAATGGATCTGTCCTTTAGGTAACTTTCAAACCAAGTGCAAAGTTTCGGCGATAATCTCATTGCTTTGAGTTTGTTGAGCAGATTTTCATGCCAGACTTTGTCGAATGCTTTAGATATATCTAAGGCAATTGTTTTTATTTCACCTCGCAACTCAATCGCTTTTTGCCATAAGTGAGTGAAGTATGTAAGTAAATCGCCAAATTGACCTATATTTTCGAAATCCGTTTATGATTTCCACCAAAGCTCCATCGCCTCCATCCTAATATTTTGAGGCTCATACACTTATAACTTATATTTCCATCCTTGAAAATCTGATGAGATAACAAACAGTCTACTGAACTTCTAAAACATAATCGAGCTCATCATTGTTGTTCCTAACACCTTTCTCAATCTTATCGTTATTTCCAGAATCAGAAGTCGGAGCCCGAAGATCCGGACCTTTAATGTTCCATTTCATTATTTTCATTGTCAACGTGAGCGACATCATCGTCGTCATTTTTTTTTTCTCTGACGGGATAGCATTCCGACAACATAGTGCTAACACATAGAATACCATACCACAAAGCTCCAACACGAATCATCCATAAATACCAATTCTACATATAAAGCACAAAATAGATGTAGGTATTCCGAAAATGGAAAATAAACCAAATAATAACCAAGGGGTGAAAACGAAAATGGAAGCACTATGTGATAGATTAGGTGATTCAAACTTAGAATGAGATAAGAATACTATCACCTTGAAAAAAAAATCGGTAAATCTGTGTCTCCTGTCTGCCCTCATTCACGCTGCGGAAACTTTGACATTGACCAAAACATGGGCATGCAAACCAGAAAAAATACAACGTGAAATGGAACCCTTAGTGCTTGGTATAAATAACAGAGAACGCAAAAATTTTCCATGTGTTTGAATATCTGAAAAGTAGTTGATAACGCATTATTTTACTCACAATATTTATTTTCCTAAGAAGTGCGCAAAGTGTTACTTTTCGTATCCGAACTCCGCTTCGCGTCGTTCGTATA